ATAATAATAAAATTGAACTTACGATCCTGGGTGAATGTTTTCTGTTTCAATTTCGTTGCTAGTTGGTAGGGTCGGACATAATTGTAACGCAGACTGCAAGAAGACTTCAAAATTAAATCTGAAGTTTCCTTGGTGGTTCAGAACTACATTAACTTGGAAAGCACCGCAAGCGGAAACAGCATGCTTATAATGCAATGTCCCTCCCCCTCCCTCCTCCGTCTATTCAAGCGTAATTTATTGTTACTGTAGAGGGGGTTGTGGCATTTAAACAGTGATGATGGATACTTGATGATTACGTTTACTTTCACTTACTTCTCTGTCTCTGTGGATTGTTACATGTGTATGAATTTGTCCTGCTCGCTGTCTAATGGAGCTGCCGCTTCAAAATAATATCATTTAGTTTCTTTAATTTTAGGATTGTTTAGGGTAATTTATAGGATAACTAATGTACTCATTTATTTTTACGGGAATAAATCGATATAATCACTGTTTTTACTGGAATACATGAAGGTTTTACGAGTTACTACCCCATGGAAATAAATACCTCTTTTTTCTCTTTCCAGCTTGGATTTCCCCTCATTGTGATCTGAGTCCGGTCCTTATACTGGACAGAGGAATTTATACTTCAGGGACATTGTAATATAATCGCTTTCATAGACTACAAAGAAGTTTTTCTCCTAGTCTAAACTTCTTGCTTTGTTAAGGGTGGTGAACAAACTATTTCTCCACTCGACTTTAAAGGTTAAAAAAGCAGGTGATTTACTGAAAAGCAAGAAGTCATAACCGCGCCCCTGGACGGCTGCCAATGCTAGTGTCGACTGACTTGTGTACCGAGTTAACTGCAATCCTGGACGATGTTTCAGCATAGGCTTTTAGACGTTTCTAACAACTGGAATTTGAATGATATTAATTTTCTGTTAACAAGAGACTTAGTTAAGGAATACAGTACAGTGATTCACGCATTGACACCGCTTTGCTTTGGGGTTACCTTGCAGGAGGCAAAGTACAATTTCTCGACATCAGGCGAGATCTCTTGTTAGATAATCTAATGTTTAATACAACGGATATTAAAACATATCCAGATTCACCTATTATTAAGTAAGTCAGAAAGGATAACAGTAAGATTTAAAGTGAAGTAATCGTTGCCAAAACATCATTACAGTACAATACAGTGCAAGAACGCAAAGTCTACACCCTTATACAGTATGATTAGTACGGAACACTTTCACCTACGAAGGTTTATGACTATATACTGTAAGCCTAGACCTAGTATTACTAGTAAAGGGGGACGCATTTCATTTCTATAACAAAAAGATTAAAGTAAAATGTCAGAGAAAAATATTAATCGTTGGATTTTCTTTTGGGAACGTTACTTATTTTTTATTTTGATGAAATGCTTATTCTTTATTCATATTTGCATTTCAGTAGAATTGTTCAACTGTCACTCTTATTACTTATGTTGTTTGTGTGACAGTCTGCCCACAATATTGACTCCCAAATTTCAAAATGATACAAACAGGGAAATATACTGTATTTCTTTTGATCCCCAGACAGCTATTTATGAAACCACAGACATTTTCATTAATGCAATGATTACATTTTCTTATAGCCTTCAGAGCTTGATCAGACCATGATTTATTCCAGGATATTATATAATTTATTTTCTAGGGAAATAAGAAATTTTAATGATCTTACCACCATTAAGTATAAAGCAATAAGCATTTTGATTGATCATAATATATTAACAGATAAATATCGAATATATACATATATAATTATCTTTATCAAATAGATAAATATAATAATAATATTTCTATTTTCATGTGTATCAAAACTAATTTTGCCATTTGTTCTTGCCTTTATTGAATCCATCCTTTAAACATTCACTTTCTATGCTGGAAAATGTACAGTATGTGAACCTCTATTAATTAAAGGGGGTATTTGGAATCAGGAGTTCCAATCAATAAGATGATATTCAGGTGTGAGTATGAGGCACCCTGCCCTGTAAAGAAAACTCACAAACTTTGGTTACCAACAGAGTCTGCTCTTCAAAACAGATTTGTCCAAATGAAATGTCCCAATCAAAAGAAGTTTCAGAGGACCTTAGAAGAAGAATTGTGCTCATAATGCTGGAAACTGTTACAAAACATTTCTAAAAACTTAGGCCTCTATCAATGCACAGTCAGAAAAACAGGGTAAGAATGGAAGACATTCAGTACCATTGCTACTCTCTCTTGGAGTGGATGTTCAACAAAAATCACTGCAAAAGCGATCCGTACAATGCTCAAGGAGGTGACAAAGAACCCTAGGGTAACAGCGGAGGACCTGCAGGTGTCTGTTCTACAGGCTAATGTCTGTGTTCATGAGTTTACAATAAGAAAAACACTGAACATGAGTGGTGTGCATGGGGGAAAACCACAGAGGAAACCGCTGCTCTCCAAAAAAAGAACATTGTGTCTAAAGAGCATTGCCAAAGATGATTTGGATGTTTTACAATGCTACTGGAATATTGTTCTGTGGATATATGAGACAAAAGTGGAAATTGCTACACAACTTTATGTTTAGAGGAAAAAAACTGCATACTAACACAAAACCCTCATCCAAGCTGTGAAGCGTGGAGGGAGTATTATGGTTGGGAGCTGCTTTTCTGCCTCAGTGTCAGAGTCCCAATCTTAATCCAATTTTAATGCTGTGGCATGACCTAAAGTAAGCCAATTATGCAAGAAATCCCAACAATAACAACAAACTGAAACAGTTCTGTAAAGAGGAATGGGCCAAAATGCCCCCAAAACAGTGTGCAGGACTGATCAGCAGCTACGGGAAATGTTCGGTTAAGGTCATTGCTGCTAAAGGAGCAGTTTCACCAGTTACTTAATCTAAAGATTCCCAGACCTTTTCCAGCATAGACAGTGAATGGTTAACCAATGTGTTCAATATGGACATGAAAAAGTACAATTGTTGGTGTATTATTTGTTAATCAGATTGTGTTTATGTATTATTATGACAGAGGTGAAGATCAGATCACATTTTAGGAGCACTTACTGCAGGAATACAGTTAATTCCAATCGGTTCACAAACATTTTCTCACCACTGTATACAAACACTTAAGTCTTTTTTATAAGTAGCCTCTTCTAGCTCAGCATTTCCCATTTTGTATTTCATATATTGCATGGATTAAGGTTTTAATAATAATAATATTTCCTAAACACAGTGTTATGACCCCCAAGTGTCTGGGGGTAAAGGGGTGTAAAATTTGGCATAGTTTTTGGCTGCAGGTGGGTTCTGGTGAGGGACTAGGAAGCGTGATAACAAAGGTCGGTGCAAAAGTGATTATTTTAAGTTGAATAAGTGACTGGTTTGTAATAGGACACAATAACACACAGGGTAAGGGAACTGGAGCAGTGCCAAAGAAAAGAAAATAACAAACAAAATGGAGCTGGCTAAGAAAGTGAGGGGAAGCTAACCTAACTACAAAAGAAAACCCAAAAACACGGTCTTCAGCGTCTTCAAACACCCTAGCTAACCTCCACTGACTACCCAAAACCATACAAGACAAAAGGCACTCACCCATCCTAAACTTTTGTTACTAATACAAAAATCAACTACGTGTGTGCAAAATGTACCCAACAACCTAAACTAACTCTATACACAAAAGTTCACACAAATACATAAGTGAACTATGAATACAAACAAGAGTAGACAAGTAACAGAGTACAAAAGCACACAGAGGTTGATACAATAACAAGTTTGGGCAAGGTAATGGTGAAACGAGGATAAACACAAACAAATGAAAGTACAAAGAGATGAACAGAAACCAGCGAAGTGAAGCAAAACGAAGCGAAGCAAAGCGGGACCGAAGTCAAACACAAGGCCTCTTCCTTCTGAAAACCTCCATGTTATATAGTGAATAAGATGAGTTGTGATTGGTCGAGAAGCTGATGATGTCATACGGAAACAATAGTGTAATGGTGGGCCAATGGAGAAGGGAGAACAATCAAAGTCAGAAGTGTGGAACATAACAACAAAAACACATAGACCACACACTGGGACGTAACACACAGATATAGTGATTTTCTATATCCCCTCCACCACCACCAATATGCAGCCCCATCGGGATGACACTACAGCAGCCATAGTGCGCCAGAATGCTCAACACACACCAGCTATCAGTGTGGAGGAGAACAGAGTGATGAAGCCAATTCATAAATGGGGGTTATTAGGAGGCCATGATTGGTAAAGGCCAATGGGAAAATTTAGCCAGGATGCCGGGGGGCAACACCATCACTCTTTTCAAGAAAGACCCTGTGATTTTTAATGACAATATTGAGTGAGGAGCTTGGTTTTATGTCTCATCTGAAGGCCAGTGCTTTTTTACACTATAGTGTCCCCGTCGCTATACTGGGGTATTATAACCCACACAGATCACAGGGTGAGTGCCCCCTGTTGGCCCCTCTTCCAGCAACAACCTTAGCTTTTCCCAGGTGGTCTCCCATCCAGGTACTGACCAGGCTCACACCTGCTTAAGTTCAGTGGGATTGCCTGTTGTGAGTTGCAGGATGATATGGCTGCTGGCTTGTTGTTTGAATCTAGGTTGATAAATTTTATGTTTTGTTTTTGACATTTGTACAGTGATATCTCATGGTGGTTAAAAGTAACTGTGAGTGTCAGGAACAGTTCTTTCCGGGCCCTATGCGGGCGACACGATCCAAAAGGTGAAGAAACAATAGGGAAAAATATCATGCAGGAGTCGGTCAGGAGACAGGGGGGCGTGTCCATGCAGTGCTGGTGTCCGGGGGGAGTGAATCCAGGGCGAACAATCCAAGGGTAAATCCAGAGGGGGAATCCATGACGGGAGTTTTAGTCCAACACCAGGGGATCCATCCGTAGTTAAAACCAGAACCGGGTCGGGACCGGCGGGGCAGGGAATCAGGAACAGGAAACTAAAACCATAACGGAGCCAGACGCGGCAAGACCCCGGGCTCTCACGACACGGAAATCAATGAGAAGCCCCGAGCAATCGCCTGCGTCTGGCTTTAAAGGTGGAACTAAAGAGGAGCTGGAATAAGGAACAGGTGTGGGGAATGGGACAGAACGAGGAAGGGCTGGAGCGCCCTTAAGAGGAGGAGTAACGATCGTGACAGTGAGACTGCTACCAGTGAGTGGCCCATCTCTCCTGAGACATCTAC